GATGGATGGATGGATGGATGGATGGATGGATGGATGGATGGATGGATGGATGGATGGATGGATGGATGGATGGATGGATGGATGGATGGATGGATAGATAGATAGATGGATGGAGCGATTGCTTAGAAAGATCCCAATATGTTTATAGTTGTTATAGTTGGCTCATAACATAATGCCTCATAGTCATTATCCAAATCATTGATATCTGAAAGTGTAGAAGCATAGTCCAACTACTTTCTACTTGAGGGCACATCAGTTTGCAAGCCTAGTGCTTGCAAACACATAATTATGCAGGTTGTGAGTTCTAATTCAGTGCTATGCAGGCTAAACCTCTCTTGTGCATTTTGAAAAATGCACACCTGGTGTGCAGCGGTGCACATTCTGCATGACCACACATGGACCATGGCAGCAGTGATATGGGTGAAAGAAAACTGGATTGGTCTTGTACTGCGCGCTCAACTCTGCTCTTCCAGTTGTGCTTCTGCCGAAATGTGTCTTAATGTGGCTTAGCTCCGAGTCGGCACTTCACACTGATGGTTCACACTCAGCAGTATGGCTCTTCCTGCCCTCGCTACTTAATAAAATATATAAGACTAATCCTCTTCCAAGTGTAAAAAATCCTTTTGTCTATCAAATTTTGTTGTTCCAGTTCTCAAGAGGTGATGCTAAACCTTCTTTAACTTCTACCCAAAATCAATATTATCCATTGAATATTTCTCTCTCATAGATTATTTTTGAATATTTCTATCTATTTGAATATTTCAACATTTTATTTAACAAATTGAAATGGGTAAGGGTCATAGCTTATAATGCCATGGATTGCCATGGCATTATAAGGCAATTTTGTAGGTTCTGTGTTTTTTTGTTTTTTTTTATATATAGAACACCTTTATATTTAAATCTACTTTAACCTCTACACAGCTGTGACCAAGGGGTAAATTTTTAGGAATAAAGCCAATTCCCAAAGTAGAAAGAACAATTTTTTTGTTGTTAGCTTTTTTGAGTAATGAAGATCTGTGTGAAATGCATAATTCATCGTAGATCAGGAAGTGTTTGCTTTTGGGTGGACACCTTGTAAGTCTAAAACCACTCCTTTTTTTATGAGGTGTTGAACTAGATCTATATTCACAACTCTTGCAAGAAACTTTTTTTATAAAATAGGGATTTTATTAATTAAAAAGTTTTTTAATTCGAGAAATTGTTGTTTTTAGCCCCGCAGCAATTATGAACTGCAGGGCAGCATTGTATTTCCAGCAATTGTAGTATCTAGACAAGAGCTGTCAGTCTGGTGAAGAATCTGGCTGTTATTCGAATTTGTAAAGGTTAGCTGTTTTATGAATTGTAACATTGAACTGTAAAGTTCCTTGAGATGACATGTGTTGTGAATTTGGCGCTATATAAATAAACTGAATTGAATTGAACATAAAACTGACTAAAATGAGACTAAAACCGACTATAATATATCATAATCAATAAAATGTGACTAAAGCTAATAATACTTTTCCTCCTGAAAACTAAAACTTAGATATGCAGGTGAAGATTCTCAGTCATTCAGGTCACAGTCATTTCAAAAAAGTTAAAAAAAAACAAAAAACAATCCACTGGACTTTGTTTCTAAGTTTGAAGATGTTTCGCTTCCCATCCAGGAAGCTTTTTTAATTCAAAATGTCAGAATTGGCAGTAAATTCGAGGCTTTATAAAGGGGACTAAAATCAAAGCCTTGTTTTGGTTTAGGAAACATGCAAATTGAACCTAAAACTAAGATTAAGTCTAAAATGGCTGTCAACAACAACACTGGATGGAAAACATAAAATGCATAGGAATTCAATGCTCAAATTAAAGATTTAAAAAAAGAAAAATCTTTATTCTTTGTTTGACAATCAGTTATTGGTTTGTTCCACTTTTGGACAATCATCAATACTTTTGATTGTGATGGGGTTGGGGGTAGGCTACTCATGGTGAGACAAAGTGCCCAAAGGGGTACAAAGGTCAGAAAAGGTCAAGGCCATGGAGCAGCCATAACGTCACATAACGCAGGATAGGGTACGAGCTGTGCTACATTACCCACGCTGTCATCTCGTCCACTATAATGGCGACAAAGGGTGTATTTTGCTTTTTTTTTATTTCCATCTTGGTCTCTTCTCCCGTCACTTTAGTAATTGTTTGTTTCATAATTTGCCTGAAGTCCCAGTAAAAAATTTGTTAGTGGAGAGGTTGTAGTAGTGTACTGTAGGTCTGTGTTCTCAGCAAGAACAAAAAGCAGTACCACGTAGTTGGCTCTGTTTGTAGACTCATGCGTTCATCATGTCCACTAAATGAAAATCATTTTTACCATAAGACATGAAACGATCTCACAATCTTTCCAATATTTCCTTATTTTTCTTCACCTTTTTCTTACGGAGCTGTTTCCCCTACACACTTCTTCGTTGAACTGTAGATATAGTCAGGTGTCCCCACATGTTTTTAAAAGCCATGCTTTGGTGTCTCGTTGCTGCATTGCTTAAAAAAAACACAAATTTACTCCAAAACTTATTTTGTGCTCTCTATCCTGCTTTCTGAAACAAGCTCAAGCATGTTCAAGTTGTTTGCTAATTCTGTAAATGTACCAAGCTTTGCCTTTTTTTTATCTACTTCAAAATGATGTCGGTATAAAATTATTCTTTTTTTTTTTCTTTGTCTCACATACATGTGAATCTTGAATCCAACATTGCAGGGTGAATTATGGCAGTAAGAACATTATTCTATGTGGACTTTTTTTTTTACATTAACACATCTTTCCCACAACAAAAATACTACCTTAATTTCTTAGCAACCAACCAATACTAACCTAGATTTGTAAACATAAAGCAGTAACAGCTCCTACCTGTCTGGTTAAACTAGCAAAATATAAACATCTCAAAGCATCTTATGAATATTAAAATGATTAACAGATTGTGAAAAACTCTCGCAAAGAAATTACTATCACTCTTGGATGACTCCAAGAGGCATTGAGAAGGTTGAGAACAGCTGTGTTTTCAACCTCTACATGTGGATGTATTGTTGTGTGTGGTGTGCAAGCCCACAGAGAATCAGCCACAATATTGGGTACCATGGGAAAACCTGCATGGAGTAGGCAAACTGCCACCTTTCTGTCCATGTTTCTCATTTCCATATGATTGAGTATTACGAGCAGAATGTGAGGTTGCCTAAGAACCATAGGTCCAAGACTTATTTTCTTCCACTCAGAACTTATGTAGACTATTGAAAGGGGGAAGTTAACACCACTGCAGACACCACATATTAAGACACAAACTTTTATGTTCAGGCTGTTGCTACAGAGACAGAGACATATTTTCCTCCAGGCTGTCTTCCTGATGATGACAATAAACACCTTACACACTAATTAGTAAGTTAGAATACTTTTAAAGTATATTTCGTTTTCCAATTCCTTACTTCCCTTTCCCTTTGCATTACACATGCAGCAAAACCCAAAATTAATACATCTGGCAAAGTTTTGCCTTAAAGTAACCTTTATTCAAACAACAGGTTTATCCTTAATTTGAAATGACCACCATCAAGGACAAAATACGGGATACATAATTGTGGAAAAATATAAGTAAATTAAAAGCATTCATTTGTATTTGAATAAAAGGTGGCATTTATGTCCTTGTAAACGAAACAAGAAAAAAAGCCTCTTTTCACTATTGAACCCATTAAAATATTTGTCATAACTGGAAGCAGACTGGCTTTTTGCTTGTCCCTATTAGTATTTCTGCGATTCAGCTTGATCTTAAAAGCCTTTTATAAAACAGGATCTTTGTGTCAACACCGAGATCTTTAGACCTTCACTGCTGAGATTTAAGACAACACCTTTGCTGCACCTCTGCAAAGCAAAAATGTTTTTTGTTTATTTTTTAAAGTTTTTTGCCTTGCTTGTTTGTACTGTGAGAGTAGCAAGTGAAGTCAGATTCCTTAATTGTTTGTAATAATGGGTGAATAAAGGTTATTAAAATTCTGGTTCTGAGAAGAGTTGCAATTTAGTTACAGGGGTCTTTGTATATGTAACAGCTAAACTGTGTGGTTTTATCATAACAAAGTTGAAGAATTCAAGGGGGAACAATAAGCAAGACATTTTTTTCCGAAATTGTGTTCAAATTTTACAAAGTAAAAAAAAAAAATACAACAAAAACTGTTTTCATTTTACTAGTGACTAACCTGCAAATACTAATAATTCATGGATGCATATAGTTGTAAATAGAGACTGTTGTTCGTCACTGTTGAAAACATTTTAAATGTCGATATTTTTAAAAGCAGGATATAATTTCAAGTTATTTAGGATGTACTTCAAATTATATTTCTAATTATCTTCTGTTTTTCCTGTTTGGTCCCATACAGCTTGTGCTGGCACATATGAAAGATGGAGTTTCTGGAAATTGTGACTGAGGAAGTTATGGACACAGAGGGATCAGCGGTCATAGCAACCTTTTTAAACAGCAGCTTGTATGGCACAACCAACTTCACCAACATCACTTTTTTCCCCTACTATCAACACTCTATTTATGTAGCTGCCAGCTACATCCTGGCATATTCCTTCATCTTTCTGCTGTGCATGGTGGGTAACATCCTGGTGTGTCTGATCGTAGTGGAAAACCGATGCATGCGCACAGTGACCAACCTCTTCATCCTTAACCTGGCAGTCAGCGACCTACTTGTGGGGATCTTCTGCATCCCTACAACTTTGGTGGACAACCTTATCACAGGTAATCTTAAGCTTTATTAATTTGTTCATGGCCATAGAGGAAAAAAATATGCCTACAAATGCTTTCTTGCTTTAAAAACAGAAAAGAGAATGTGTTTTTCCTACTCTACACTTTAGTTTTTTCTTAATTAAAGATTGAAAATTAATTAGGAAATGATGAATTTACATGAATATATCCTCTTTTTAATGTTAAAATATTTAACACTAAACACTGTGAGAATAGCAACTAACAAACGTGTAGGTCTAAACAGTAATCTTTCATAAGATTCACCAAATAACTGATAATATGATTATTATATTGGATTATGCAGTTTAAAAAAATCATCTGATTCTTTATCAGTTTGTCTTGAATCTGCACTTTTTGGTTCTCTTTAAGTCTTTTTTAGTTTTCAGTTATTCAGTTGCCTTTCTGTGTTTTCTAGTCTATTGGGTTCATTTCCATTTTGTGTTATTCTAGTTATTTTTGTTTATATTTCTGAGTTATTTTGTGTTTCTTGAGTTACTCTCTGTTGCCCCCTTGTGTTTGTTTCCTTTCCCCTTGGCTTCCTTTGAGACCCTTCCATCCACACCTATTCCTTGTCAGCTCATTAGTCCAGTCCTTATTATGTCTCCCATATATAGGCTGTGTTCGAATTCATGGGCTGCATCCTCCAAGGACGCGGTCTACCTAGACTGGATCCTTCGAAGTCCGTGAAAATAAGGAGACCGGAAGTGTTTTGGCTGTGAATCCAAACAGGTCTACCCTTCAGCGGGTTTTATTGCTGTAGGCCATGTTGCTTAGCAACTGTGACAGTTGACACACACAAAGCAGGAAAAGAATGAATACAGAAGTTTTCAAAACTGTTTGTTTATTTCTTTTTTTTTTTTTTTATTGAGTGGAATAAAGGTTCCAACCACTGGGAACAGGAACAAATAAAATCAAATGTAATGATAGAAACCTTAGTCAGTTAAATAACATGCTGCTGTCATTTTGCACATCTCTCATGTTGCTGCTATTTTCAAATATCCATTACTGTAAAAATGTCCATAGCTGCATATTGGTTATTTATTCTCCAGGTGCACAGTTTTATATTATTAAAACACTTTACAGTATTTTATCATTCATATTTTAACTCTTCCCTGTTATATTATTCTTATACATCTTTCTAAGGTCAACATTTGTGTGACCATTTTCAATAATCTTTCTGCTGCTTTAAATTTGCCCAATGTGGGACAATAAAGAGATTTTCTATTCTTTAAAAGGGGAAGAAATATAAGTAAATCTAAACAATGTATGTATAAAGAATATATCTGCAAAATCTCCAATATTCAACCAAAAAAAATACTTAGTTAAGCATATTGTGCAAAACAGCAATAAAATAATTTTAATCCTATCAGATTTATAGTCCCCACACTGCAGATATATTAGAATCTGTCGTTAAATTACAGTCAAACCCATTTACACAGCAACAGATAAAAACCTTTAGATAAACCAAACATTACACCACATATCTGACTCAATAACCATTAAAACAATTATTTTCATTCATTTCAGACAGAACTACTCACAGACTGGATTATATTAAACTCCACTTCCAATTTTCACCACTGTTCGGCGCCAAGTAACCTTTCCTCTGATCACGGAGCAGCCGGCTTGCTTGCTCTCGCAATGAATCCTGGGATATCCAAGGATACATCGGACCCGTCCTTCAAATCAGGCAAAAAGAAGGACGCATTTTAAGGCCGCATAACGAGGAGTCTTGGAATCCGACCAGACCTCGGCGGCGCGCTATGACGTAATCTACCTTCGAATCTGGCCTTCTAAGGAAGCATCCCATAAATTCGAACAGGGCCATACTCTCCCTCTGCAGTTCCTTAGTGCTGTTTCCTCGTCTTTCCCTCCCTCCTCATGTGTGTTTTCCCTGATGTCCCCCAGATCCTGGCTTTCTGTAATAGATTTTTGGATTTCAGACTCACCTCTGCCTGCTGGTCTCTGAATTTGGGTCCTCTAAAACCTCCACCCAACCGTGACACAGTCTGTCTTTTATTAATAGTTAACTGTGACAAACCCGGCCCTCAAATGTGTACTTCCACAATCACTGGCGTTTAAAAGGGGAGCCAGCATTGGTAAACCAAAAAAAACCACGTCTTACCACCAAGTCTTATTCAGGTGGGTTGATGTACAGTAGGAAGTTACCCATAATAGTCCCTTATCGACTAAAAGGCACACTTGATTTGAGTGTAATTTATTTATGTATCCATAATGCTGTCTTATTTTGAAATGTTATGGAGTTGGTACTCCTAACTGCCTGTCTAGCTCATCTGGTTTATAGTGACTGAACAGCTTTGCACCACAATCCTGCAAAAAAAGACAAACCCCATTAGTTACGAATGAGAGAGTAGAGGTGTCTATTATACTGCAGCACAACAGAGCTGGTGGAAATTACAGCAATGTCCTAAACATGATCTATTTGCATCGTAGAGCAAAATTCTTCAATGACAGAGTCTTTATGGTTCACTGGAAATTTACGGATTATGTTAAAAGGGATAACATGAAAAGAACTCATTGAAAAGTGAAGACACGAAATACATTCTGCCACTGAATCAATTTTAGTTGAATGTTTGTGAAAGTTGAAAGTTTATGATGTATTTTATATCATCAGTGCTATATTTTTAACTGAGAAGTGGATCAACATATCAAAAAATTTCCAATAACCCTTACTCTTAACATCACCTGTTACTGACTCAGCAACTCATGCCAGACACTTGTTCTCTCTGCTAATCATGCTCCTCATTTGTTAAACCAACCTGCTGGATTATTATACATTTTCTGATTAATTAAAGTCAACCATTGACACATGACCACCCAAGGGCAGTCCTAGCCCGTTTGGCATCCCAAGTGAACAACCCCTCCACCACTACCATCCATCCCATTATACAGCAAGAACCTATTTTACATTTGACACACATAGAGGACATTAAAACATTTCTATAAAAAATTATGTATCAACACACAAGAGAGAATAAATAGAAAAATCCATATAAGGAAATCTGAAACAGTTTATATTATAGTGTGTAAGTATTTGTTATAGAGCATAAAACTAAGTATTTCATTATAAAAGCATATATTTCTATTTGTGACAGCATCCTGTAATATAACCATGTCTCTACTGTTTCTAACAAAGCTAAATACATAAAAAAACATTGTATTAATTTAGGAAGCTATGAGTGACATATGACTATTTTCAGTTAGTAAAAATCAATAGAGTGGGGAGAGGGGTCCTTCCAAGATGGTATCGGCCAACTCCCTGCTTCCCCATCAGTGCTCTACTCAACTGATCCAATCAGTGTTGGCCTGTGCGCAGGGCACATCAATTACATCTCTGTCTAACTTGCTCCTCTCTGCGTCTGATGTCTGGGGCACATGAGCAATTTGAACCTTAAGACATCATAACTAGATCTGTCTGAGTCAGACACCGCAGTTTATCAAAAGCCACATGGCATGCTGCATGATGGGAAAATGCCCTCCTGTCGGACAGTGATTATGTTTTGTAAATAAAATGCCCCTACATGTCCTCCCCACCCTTTTAATTCATCTTTAAATATTCAAAATATGCATAAACACAGACTTTAACAGTTAATCAGTAGCAAGTATTTGTTCATAATAGACTTAACTGGCTTTTTAGATGGAGGATATTTGTGTTAAAAAACATGATACGACTGGCATAAAATCAAATACAAACAGCATAAAAATAAAACAACAAGCCGGTCCCATCTAGGCCTAATCGGAGACAATGGCACACGAAGTGTGCTCCTGATGTCTAGTCTGCTCCGATGTAATTGGGAGAGAATGCCGCAATTTTTTTATATTTTTCAAAATAAAACATCACTCAGACTCGACGATAAATTATATATATATATATATATATATATATA